CAACCCTGCCTGCCAACCCAAGGCAGCCCCTTGGCAGCCCCAGCCGTGACCTGGGCCTGGGACCACTGGCGCACCCAGGGCGCCTGCTACCCCGTAGCCTGCAGCGAGGGGACAGTGCTGCTCTGCACTGGTCCTACTCGAGTCTGGCCCAAACTTCTGAGCTCTGACCTCCCCCATTTTCTCTCCTGTAAACGGGATGGTTGTAGTGCTGCCCTGTGGGGGGAAATGAGCTCACGGGTGAGCGTCAGGCCTGGACGGTGGCGAGCCCTCGGTGAGTGTCGCTCTGCACTGCCAGCCTAGTGGTCACTCTGCTCAGCAGCAGGTGCTCCTGGCCAGGGAGTGCGTGTCAGATGGAGCCCGGCAGAGCCAGCAGGCAGGAGGAGGGCTGGCCACTCTCGGACCGGTACATCCCCCTTTGCTGCTGGCCTCCGAGACCCATCTTTTTCTGTGGGCTCCAGTCACGAGGGAGCGAGCACCCTGGTCCTGTGTCCACTGGGTGCCGTGTGTCATGAGTAAATTCTATCCCCCCTGAGCTGGCCTTTCTGGGATTGCAGAGTGGGCCCTGTCAAGGACCCTCACGTCCGACTCTGAGAAGGCGCAGCAGCTCGGGGAGGGAAGGTGGGTGTCCCGGGCCTGCACACCCACTGTGTGCTGGGTGTCAGTTCTGGCCCAGGACAGAGGCTGTGGGAGGCAGACAGCCACCATGCTGTGCGGGCATGGCAGGGACACTGCAGCGGGGGCTGCCTGCGTTCCTGGCGAGGTTCTGGGTAGTGAGTGGTCATGCAGGTGAGCCAGTGGAGACCGGCCAGGCTGAACCCCGGTGAGGCTCTGATTTGGTGAGTGGGGTGTGTGACAGACACAGCGGCTTTCTAGGTCTTTCAGGGAGGGCCCCTCCAAGGAGCTGACATTTGAGCTGAGCTCTGAATGGCCAGGACAAGCCAGGCCCATGGAGACCGGAGGGCAGAGCGTGCCTGCCAGATGGGAGATCAGCTGAAAGGCCTGAACTTCGGGCTGAGGAGGAGGCAGACTGGCCATGAGGGCCTGGCGGACTGCAGGAGGGCCTTGCTCTGAGTCACGGGCTGGCGGCGACTCAGGCCGACCCACGTGGGAAGGTTACCGGTTTGTGTCAGAGGCCTCCCTGACTACACCGGGCACCTGTGTGCCCATGAGCTGGGCTGGCTGAGGGATCGCTGTCAGGATCCTGGCGGGAGAGGCGGTGCTGTCTTTTTGTCTCTGTCTTTTTGACTCATGGAAGAAATAAATGAACTTTTAAAAAAGTCCTGGGGGTGGGGGAGCAGGTGCCGTGGTGGTTAAGGCACTGGACTCCCACCTGGCTGACCATGGTTCAAGTGCCAGACCCAGTGACTTGAAACCCATGCAGGGCATGCGTGCATGTGTGCCCCAAATCCCAGGAGAATGGAGAAGGGATTGCAGCACAGCCATCCCCACTGGGGCTTGATTTCTCACTTTCCCTCTCTCTCTGGCAAGCACTTGCACCCTATGGCAAAAATCTTAAAAAATAATAAAGCCTTGGAAAGCCATTGCAAAGTGTTGTGCAAAACATGAGAAATGACTGGGCTTGGGTTTTCCAAGGCCCCCTCTGGCTGTGCGTGGCCAGCCAGTGAGAACACAGGGAGGAGATCCAGGCCCACCGCGGTGCTCGACTTGGTGGTCACATGGAGGGGGAGAAGCTGAGAAACCGCGAAAGGACCTGGGCCTGGGCCTTCCCAGAGACCCTGCGTGGAGGGCCAGGCACCCTGGGCTGACCTGGTGAATCCGTGGCCATTCAGCACTGGATGTGCTGGCGGAACCTGGGTTGGTGGCGTGCTGATCAAAAGTGGTGTTGGTTCCAACGACACCCCAGGAGGGCTGAGACCTTGGGGGCAGTCTCAGACCTTAGCCTCTGTTGAGAGTGCGAAAGCCCTCACGGAAATCAACTTGTGCAAACCCACCTGCTGCAAAGCTGCAACCACCTGTGAGCAACTCTAATTGTGCCCCGCTGGGTACCAGGCCAGATGCTTCATTGGTTAGCTATTTCACTTGCCCACAACACTCGCCCACAATAAGGAGCGTTATTGTCTCCTTGCGCAGATGAGCAAATGGAGACCCCAGCTGCAGGTAGCTGGGCTGGGACACTCTGCCCAGCTCTTACTACGTCTGGCACTTTGCCCCGCCCCCAGAGCCCCGCCCCGCCCCGCCCCAGAGCCCAGACCCCTCATCGCAGCCTGGCCCACCGCGCTCACCGCGCGCACGTCGTCAGGCAGGTCCTCGTCCAGCTCGCCCTTAACGATCTTCTCGAGGGTGTTGATGGAGATCTCCAGGAGTTTCTCGTGGTGGTGGTTCTCCAGGTCCCGGCACTGAGCCATGGTGCAGCCGCGAGTTAAGCAAAGGCTGGGGCTGGGCAGGCCGGCCTGTCCCTGACAGTGCGCTGGGTCCCTGACACACCCAGAGGGCCAGGGCCACTGCAGCTACACTGCGACAGACCGAACCCCGAGGGCTGCCGAGGAGCCCCACCTCGCTGTCCTCAACAGCTGTCCATCCTCACGCGCTAAACCCCGGAGCCAGCCACGTGGCCATTGCGGGTCCTTAGCCCAGCCTCACCCAAGTCGCCCCATGCCCATCACCTCCGGCAGAGACACTGCAGTAGACTGTCCTGCCTGCTGGGCGCCCCACTCTGCCCCTCACTGCCACAGCCAGAGTGAACTTGGAGTGGAGGTGCCGGCAACCCCATCTCTCCCCGGTTGCCTGACAGCCTGTAGGGCCCCAGGGAGCTCTGGCCTCTGAACACTTCTCCCGCCTGACCCTGGGCGTTTGCGCAGGTGGCCTCCTGGGCCTGCAGCGTCCTCCCTCTGGTCATCTTCAGGTCCTCATAAAGTGACCTCCCATCAGGGAGGCTCCCAGCCCTGACCCCGGGGGTACCAGAGTGCCTTAGGTGCCAGGTGTTACCTCCACAGCTTCTGCCCCCTGCTGGACTGAGCCCAGGAGGACAGGACGGGGTGCTTCTGGGGTGGGGCACAGCAGTCACCTCCCCAAAGTGGCAGAAGGGTGGTCACACTACGTCTGGCACTTTGCCCCGCCCCCAGAGCCCCGCCCCGCCCCAGATTCTGGCTCCTCGCCCGACATTTGACCTGACGAGCCTGTTACAAGCGACCTTCTGCCTGTCTGCTGTCCGTGCAGCCCCGGCAGGGGGCGGAGAGTCTGGGGCACTGCCTCCCGGGAACATCCCCGGGTGAGGATGGCGGGGTCCCCACAGCAGTCCCTTAATCTAACAAGGACACCCTTGTTCGGGTGGGAACCCCGCTCAGGCCCTGTGGGACAATTCGAACCCTGGTGGCCAAATCCCCGTCCTGTGAGGGTGAGCCCATCTCCCTGGTGAAAAACGGAGGTTCTGTATTCCTCTAATCGCAAAGGAGGGTCCCCACTCAGGACCCGGCATGGACTTACATACACGCTGGCGGCGGGGTGCTTTCCGTCAGCCAGGCGGGCAGGGCCCTCCGGTGCACGACCACAGCGCTGACCGCGTGTCCAGGCCAGTGGCCACCGTGGGAGGGGCAGG